AAGCAAAGTTAAACGACAAAGACCAACCAGTAAATAAATTATGAAAATAAAATATTTAAGAATGTAAAAACCAAAACACATAATTATTCATCATAGAGCTAGAGAAGGGCAAAAATAAATAATAACAATAATAATGAGCGTGGGAAGTTTTGGCTTGGAATGAGAGAGGAAATCGAGGGAAGATTGAGCCAAAGATATGCAACAAAATTGGACCCCCTCCCTCCGCTGCCTAATTACCAATAATCTCTCTCTTTTTCCTTTTTTATTTCTTCATAAATAAATATAAAAAAATCCATTTTTTTTTAAATTATTCAACATATAAATACTTCATCTTCCTCACCCAATTCATCCCCATTTCTCCTCTCTCTCTCTCCTCTGTGAATCAATTTGCAGCTGCCGCTCCAACCCAATTCCGCCATTGTTATCAACATCTTCAACCAGTTAGTCTCTCTCTCTCTCTCTCTCTCTCTCCTCTGTAAATTTTTCGTTTTCTCTCTCTAGTTTCTGATGATGATCAGTTGAAGTTAATGAATTAATTCAGTCAATGACTGAAACAAAGCTTTAATTTTTCATTTACATTTCTTGTTTTCCTACTCTTTATCAGTGATTCTCCAGCTGGGTTTCTCTTCAATCCAATTCTCTGTTTTCCTTTTGAATTGCCCTGTTTAATTACGTCCTCCATTATGGGCTGTTTGTTTCCTGAGAAAAGGAAAGGGAAAATAGAAAAAAGCAAAACCAAACACACCACACTTTTCTTTCTCCACTAAATTCACAAACTTTTTATTTTTTGGGGGTCGGTTAGAAAATACATTATTGAAAAATGAACAGTAAAATGGAAAACGAGAGAGAGAGAGAGAGGGGGGGGGGGGGGAAAGAAAATCTGAATTTGTGATTGGGGATGCTGTTGCCAAACATATGATTCTAATAATTGAGACAGAATGATGCTGCATAATTTTAAAGCAACATTTCCATAAAACTCTGTCCTTCAAATTCATAAAATAATCCATAACCAACCAATCAAATTGCGCAATTATGGGATCCTTTGGGATAAGAACCAAGTAATAAAATAAAACTTTTTTTTCCCTTTTTACACAAATATTAAAATATGGGGTTTCGAGAATAATATTTTTTAGCTCACTTCTCTTGTCTTTATTAAATTATTAAGACCAACAAATTTTTACTGAATTTGAGTGTTACTCCTGAGATTTCTATTAATTAATATTTGTACATGGAATTAAAGAGAGAATGGTGGGATTAATGAAATGTTCGTCATTTAGTTGTTAAACCCAAAATAGATTCTTCTATCTTTTTTAAAAGGAATAAAACGAAACACGACGCTGTGATTATTCCTTTTTTTTTTCCTTCTTTTTCCTTAAGATGCTTAAATAGCTTCATGGTCATTAATACGAAGAACAAAATTAGTGGTAGCGTTTCAATTGTCTGTCTTGTACTCTTGCTGGGGCATATTTCACTTTCTTTTTTTTGAAATGGGATCAAAGAAAAATGTTGAATTTATTGCAAATGAGATTGAAAAATGTCGTGGGAAATTGGGGATTTGATTCTCTCTCTCTCTTGTGTGGCTTGAGAGGACGGGGGAGCGGTGGGTACGGATCATCGTGAGTGCTGCTAAATTTTGGAAGCTTCGGAAAAAATGTTTTAAGTGCCAAAGTGGAGAGAGGGGAGAAGAAAAGAGCCATTTCTTCTTCTTATCTCGCTCTCAATAGTTTGAATATTTTATTCTTTCTCTCTGTCTAGAGAAATGGACGCTGTACACTCAACTTTGGTTCTTCTTCCATATCTTCTGTGTATGAATCCAGAGCCATGTGAAATTCACACAGCGGGATGAGGGGGCAGAGGATATGGTAGATGCTTTTTTTTACTCGCTCTCTCTCTATTGTTCTTGCTCTGTTTCATTTGGATCTGTCTCCCGTGAGTTTCTTCTAACAAATCTGATTCATATTCTCAAAACCTGATCGAAAAGAGACCGACCCTTTTGGTTGGACTTGCGAAATTTTTACAAAGGAATAGCTAATTTTATTATTGTCTTTGGGATTTCTGTGTTTGGTTGAAGAAGGGAAAATGGATCGGTTTCTGAGAAAATCTGATACTACTTCGAGCTCGGTAACATGGGAATGGGAAATCGAAGACACCCTTTTCGATTAAGCTTTATACTAAAAGGATGCAAGTAGTACATGAACCAATAAGAGAAAACCCAAGAATCCAATGTTCTTATAATCCTGCCAACAAAACAAGTGCCTCAGAAACCAAGCCAGAAATTAGAAAACAAGGAGTCTATAAAGCTTACCTAGATGTGTAATTGAACAAAAACATTTCAGCCGTAGCTGGTGCACGAACCCCGATGAATTTATATCGGAGCTGATAAAAGAAATGGCAGCTGAGAGAGACAGATAGAAAGGGGGAATTGATTGAGGCGTTGTGGAGTTAAAAGGGGAAAGGGCCAAGTCCCGAGTGTTTGTCTTGCTTTAGGTAAATTAGGTCGCAGCTTTCCAATTAATGGTTTCTTCTTCTTCATTAGGAGTATGATTAAGCTTGTGTTTGTCTTTCCTCCTCGCTATCCCTATAATAGTTTTTAGGCATTAATAGATTTGGTTTGTGGCTGTAGCAGTGGAGCTTTCTCAGACGGCCCTGTCTGCTTCTTTTGCACCATTTCCTTTATATTGCTGTAATCTCTCCATTAAATGCTTCTTTTT